ACAAAATGCTTCCAAATGCTGTTAGTAGAGACATAAACCTCCATTTAGGTTCATTTTCTAAATTGATATTAGACATATTACTTTGCAAGGTTCAGTAAGAGGTCATTTGAGCAGTAAGCTGACTGTTCATATTATGAGTGACGGGACACGAAGTACCATCAACAACCTTCCATGTTGCCAGGACTGTGGAAGTGGAGTTCTATGAGATGAATGCAGAAGGCCTTGCAGATCACATTTTATAAGACACTGAGCCAGAGGGGCCTGTACATCCACATCCATTACCCAAGGTTCTGAATGCCTGGCGTGACTGCTGCTGACACCCCAGATGCTCTCAGCTTCTGGACCAAACAACATGCCAGGCACCACCTGGAACCTTCTGCAGACTGCCTACAGTCAGCTGTGGCATGTGTACGTGCATGAGTCATCCCTGATGCAGTGACCACATGGACAGACATCAGGTCACATTTCTGAGCATGAAGGGCTTGTGTCTCAGAGCTCCTTTTCATCTTTGTCTGCAGTCTGATATTGAGAAAGGACAGGTACAGAGATGACGTTTTCCAATGAAAAGCATTTGAGAAGCAATGACATAAACCATGGAAAGGAGACTGCTGGTGTCCAGGCAGTGTGGGTTTGGAGTGACAAGAACTCTTCTCTCACCACATTAGGGGACCAATAAAGGAAATACCCACAAGTGGCATAAGATGCAACCCAGGACCCTCTCAAGTATGAATGGAAGCCAGGATCCTTTTAGTTATAGTGGGTGATTAATCTTGGATCTGGCGAACAGGAGTCCAGTTCCAGTTGTCCCTCCAACAAATTGTACTTTTGCAGTTTTAGTCAATTTGTAGCCATGTTGTGTAAGGTAAAACACAAAGCTGTCTGACACAAGTATTTTCTGACTCACCTCTGGACAGGTTGTACACACCTTGGCCCACTTTGTATACACTTGTTTGTTTTATATCCACCTTGGCAGGCACCCCAACATTGTTTAATGTTGACTATGAAATAAAGCACAGCTTGATCCTTTGCTGGATGGGATGGCATCTACTGTGGTGCTTGAAAGTTTGTGAAGCCTTTAGAATTTTTCATATTTCTGCATATGACCGAAAACATCATGAGATTTTCACACAAGTCCTAAAAGTAGATGAAGAGAAACATGTTAAGCAAATGATAGAAAACTATTATACTTGGTCAGTTATGTATTGGTGCTTAGCTGGCCTCTGGGGCACGCCCTCTCCTCTGGTGCCTGCCCTCTCCTTTGTCAACAGTAATGTCAAACTGGTTCAAAACACTTTTATACCTGGTCATTTATTTGAGGAAAATGATCCAATTTTACATATTTGTGAGTGGCAAAAGTATGTGAACCTCTAGGATTAGCAGTTGATTTGAAGGTGAAAATAGAGTCAGGTGTTTTTAATCAGTGGGATGATGATCAGATGTGAGTGGAACCTTGTTTGATTTAAAGATAAGATAGAACTTTATTGATCCCGCAGGAAATTGTTGTGCCAGAATTTCAATACAAAGGAACATGCACAAAGGATCACAAGATAAAAAAAAATAACAGAGAACATAAAAATAACAGAGAGGTATAAAAATATCAACAGTTAAGGTCTAAAGCAGGTCAGGTGCAGAAAGACATTAAAAGTGTTTATTGTAGTGCAGGATGTCGTGCGGCAGTGACTGTACTGCAGGACCGTTTTGCATGTACAGAATGGCAGGTCTTCAGGGAGGCTGTTGTAAATGAAACAAAAAACAACCATCAACATCATGCATACACAATAATCGATCAACAGAGGACACCATCTCCTCTGTGGTCCATACTGCTCTCACCCACCTGGAGCAGAAGGACTCCTACACCCTTATGCTCTGTGGACTTCACATCCACCTTCAACACCATGATTCCCCAGACCCTGATGGACAAATTACTCACACTAGGACTAAGTCCCTCCATATGCAACTGGGTCCTGGACTTTTTAACAAACAGACTGCAGTCTGGATCCAAAACTTCTCCTCCTCCACCATAATCCTCAACACTGGCTCTCCTCAGGGCTGTGTGTTGAGCCCTCTCCTGTTCACTCTGCTCACATATGACTGTGTACCTACCCATGCAAGCTGTCATATTGTAAAGTTTGCAGACGATGCAGTGGTTGGATGTATGAAACAACGATGAGTCCTGCTACAGGCAGGAGGTGGAACACCTGGAGAGCTGGTGCAGGAAGAACAACCTTCACATCAATGTGAAGAAGATGAAGGAGATGGTTGTGGATTTCAGATGGAGCAAACTCACCTACACCCCCCTGAACATGGGAGAATCTGCATTGGAAGTGATCTCTGGTTACAAGTACTTGGGTGTGAAACTGAATGACAACTTCACCTGGGGCAACAACACTATCAGTCTGATCAAGAAAGCTCATCAGAGACTCTACTTCCTCAGGAGGCTGTGGTGAGCTGGACTGGGAAGCTCAGTCCAGTGGACTCTTTCTATGGGTGTGCAGTGGAGAGCATCCTATGCTCAAGCATTAACATGTGGCATGGAGGCTGCACAGCTGCAGAAAGGAAAGCTCTGCAGAGAGTGGTCAAGGCTGCACAGAAGACCTTGGAGTCAGCCTCCCCAAATTTTTTTGGAGAAATTTCTGGAAGGACATACAAAGATTCAGTCCAAGTCAGTTTAAAGGCAAGCAAACAAACACTAAAAAATGTCTAAATATCTGGTTTCAATGGTATGTTGGTCTTTTTCATGATTTTAGGCTGTTTTAAATCAACTCAGATGAACAGAGTATTACACAAACAAGACTATTTTAACACAAGGAGGTTTTGATAGGAAACTCTGGAATCCACGCGAAATTAAAAAATAAAAGCACATTTTCACAAAGAATCTTTTAGTATCGGACCAGTCTCTTTTCTGAAACCTGTTGCTGTACTCAACTTGTCAGCTTATATTCATATTCAGAGCACAGACTGAAGGAGCAGTTTGTGAACTTCGACACTGGACACCATTAGTGTGGCGTCAAAAAGAAGACAGTCGTGTAATTAATGCGTTATCTGAGATAACGCACTGCTAATAGATCCTAATCTGCTATTATCATTTCCCCCACGAGCCATCCCTCTCTGACTTCCGATGTGATGATCCATCTTTAATTACAACCAATAAGACCGCTCAATCACCACACTCTCTGCTGAGATCAGGGTCGTCAAAGTTAATGACAGGCTGAGACTTGATAATGGTCGCTTGCTCATTCAGGGCAGACGACGAGCAAGGAGTTGGCGGGAACAAATGTTATTTGATCCAAAAAGGAGCAATCTGTAAAAGGCTGTCTTTACAGTATTATAAAAAAAATAAAAAAAAATAAAAAATGATGTTAAAGCATCAAATTCTTGATTCAAGTACCGTATTTTTGGCTGTACAAGTCACACCTTTTTGCATAAATTTGCACGTCCTGCGATTTATACATCGAAGCACCTAATAATTCTTCCCCCCCCCCCATTTATAACCCAATTTTTGGCTGAGATTTGACAATTTCATTCATTCTGTCATGGAAAATATTGAACACTACCATTTTCAGCCACTAGAGGGCCCTCGACTCATATGGCAAGCTAAGTGTCTCATTAATAGGTAAAAGTGGCTATTAATGACACTTGGCTTGCCATACAAAGCCACCTTCGTGGGGAAAATGTCAAATCAGCTGCATTTTACTGCACCACTCAGGAGAAATGCAGCTGATTTGACCGTTAAAGTGCATTTATTAAGAAAAAGTTCAACTGAGACACCTTTACTATGTCGAGCAAAAAAATAAAAAGTTTTTAGGCGGTTATCTTTGTAAATTTTGAAGAAATGCACAGCGAGTCCTCCCTCTGCCTGCTCCCGCAAATCGGCTTTTGAAATTAAGCAGATTTGACCATTAAAGTTCATTTATTAAGGAATAAAGTTAAACTGAGACACACCTTTACTATAATGTCAAGCAAACAAATAATTGTTTTTAAGTGTTAATCTTGTTAAATTCCTGTTAAAGTCCTCCCGTGCATGCTCCTGCGACCGCCATCTGATTTTTGGCACAACACCGGCCCACGTTTCCAGGTGGTCAGCAGTGACTCATAATAGATGAGACTTGCATGGCGAAGCAACTTATCCCCCCCCATTAGACAAATTTGGACTGAAGCGACTTATACGGTGGTGCGACGTGTATGGTGGAAAGTACAGTAAACGTTTTTTGAATTCAAACTACCCAAGTCTGTTCCCAATCACACAAAGGAGGCAGACTCAATGCACAAAGGAGAGGTTTTATTATTGCATGCCAGTTTCTCCTCACATCCTTACATCTTAGAAACACCATGTTATCCACAACAGTGGATAAATTTGGACCGGTGGTCCAACTTTAAAGGTACCAAGCTTACACTGGCTTTAGGAAAAGGGCATGTGTTACTGATGAAACACAGAACAAGAGCCCCATCTGTTGCACATGAATGCATCTGGACCTGGTGAAAACATTGTCCAACATCTACGTTATCACCAGCATCACAATCCACACTTTGCACTAAAGTCTGTTGTTTTCATCATTAAGTGATGAAGTTTTCACTTTAATAACTATAAATATCTATGTGCAAGGACATATTTTGTCGTTCTTGCAATATCATCACGTTACTCTACATCTGCTGAGGCAATCAGTCGAACAATATAGAGAAAAACAACTTTTTAAACTTGTGCTCTCACAGTTGGCACTCTTCATTAGAGTTCTTGTTATTTAGACACGCAGGTTATGTGATTTTAGCATCTCCATTTATGTTCTGTTCTTTGGCAACATCAGATTTATTAAGGAAACTTGTTTACCGGTTGTGTTGAGATGCAGGCGTAATATGCAGACGCAGCGCTTCATGTAGAACCACACTCCAAAATAAAAAGCTATCGTTCTTCCACTTTAAACACTGAGCAGCAATAAAACAAGATGAAAGCAACGCTTCAGAGAGAAGAGGAGCACAGATTAACTTTTGACCCATTTTAAAATCCACTGAGTGAGGCGGACGTTTTAGCAGAACATCAGCACGATCTACCAATCAGTTCGGATTTTAATGGTATGTAGCTGTTGTGCTGTCACAAGATCAGTCCTCAGTGCTTGTGCCAGGTCGGAGCTGCCATTGGACCTCTGGGTGTCGTCTCCACCACTATCAGTTCATCTGGGTTGTCCCGAGCCTGATAGTGGAGCAGAAGGTCCTGAATGGCTCTCTCTTCAATCTGCAACAACAGAACAAAAGGCCAATTAATAAAAGCCACAAATTCTGGAGGAGGACATTACATTCAGTTAACAGTTCTCCTGAAGTTAAAATAAGAACGTCTGTCAATGAAAGCCTAATGGATTTATGAGTCTTTAGTTGATACTCAGGTTGGGCAGAACTACGGTATGCTATATATTGCAAAGTAACATATTTTGAATACCATCCTTTAAACTGTTGTGAATTTAATTCTGTCTACATGACAATAAGTTAAAACTGTAGTTCTGTTTGACTGAACTCATCTTCTGTGGTGGAAGATGAGTTCAGCCAAACATCAACCTAAACTCAGGCTGATACTTCAAAATGACATCAGCCAAATCTATAAAAACATGTTATTTTAATACCCTCACTCTATCGACAGCACAGCACCAGCAGTCATCTGAGGCTGAAGAAAAGAGCAACGCAGCACAAGCTAGAACCTAAAATAAGTCAATATTGGGGGGCAGAAGCAACGAGACAACAAAATAACTTAAAGTATAAACAATTAAATTGTCCTAAATCACACGCTGCAATGCAGATAAAATGTACCATCGTATCCTGCTTTACATGTGGAGGAAGGTTTAATAGTCAAACATGGATACTGCAAAAAGGTCAAAAGGTCACTAGATGGTTTGGTGAAGGTAACGGAGCACAGAGAGCTGCCAGAGGAGCAGGAGGACCTTATGTCTAGCAGCCCTGTCCTGACTGATGTTTACTAGATAAACACCAGACAGCAGATAACCACCGCCAGGTTTCGTTGTCATCTAGGTTCTGTTTTCTAGGTGAGAACGTGTCTACCTGGATGAGCGCCAGCGGCTTCTCTCGGCTGCGGATCAGCGCGGCTTCCTGCTGCTTCTCCTCCTCCACGATGGAAGCGAAGGTCACCAGGGAGGAGAGGGGAGGGCTGCCCACGGCACCAAGCACCCAGGGCCTGAGGGGGCACACGGTGACACAGATACATCAGTGACCCACACTGTCGTGGTGAAAGCAACCCGAGCCTGAACGAGCGGACAAAGGTCGAGTCAACGTCCCTGCACCCAGCTGACTTCAGCGAACATCTTGTACCATAACAGAACCGGGCTGAAATCAAGTTTTCTACTGTCCAGATTCTAGGACGGGGTCCGCAGCCTGTCCTATCAGAAGAGCCATCGCTGCCCCTTGACTCATGAAATAAAACGTGTCTGAAGCCGCAAAACCTGCTACAGCTGGGATTATCAACTGATGGCCCATGGGCCACTTGGAGTTCGTCGAGTAGGGGTTCTGGCCTGTGGGGGTGACGTTATAAAATTAAAAGTACCGGTATATGAGGAGTTCTAATATTTATTGATGTTTTTACCTTTTAGGGCAGAATACAGTATTTATGCAAAGGAGGAAAGAAAATAATAGTTTAGTCAAATTTTGATAGAGAAAGTAAACGGTGAACTCTGCAGGCCTTGATGAAATAATCAAGTATCTCACTTTGCAGTAATAAAGTACAAGATTAACGTGAGTATGGAAGAGGATTAGGGCCACAGTGCAAGAAAAAAGATCTCCTGAATTCTGATTTATTCTTCTCAGAATTTAAAGTCATAATTCTGAAAAATTCAATAAAAAATACATCGTGACCCTAAACCTCTTCCATATAATTTTATTGAACCTTTTCAATGAAAAACAAATACTTTGACTTACTTTGACTTTAATTATTTTTTTTTATTCCCATATTTATCAGATACACTGCACTTATTTGAAGCAATCCGTTTTAAAGGTATTCCAAAGATCCCACTGTGAAGCTGGACTTTGGATGAATGAAGTATCTAAACTGAATCCATGTTTTCTAGTACTAGTAACTTTATTCACACATTTGTAGAAAATTAGCAGGACAATTGCTAAAACTAGTCTCCTCTGTTGTGGGTATAAAACCCAGTAAAATTCAGTTTCATGTTGTTTCGGTCAAAGCTTCAAGGAGCCGCTGCAGAGGGACCAAAGAGCCGCAGGTTGCAGACCCCTGAGCCAGGAGAATCAGAAAGGAGGAGCGCTTTAATTTGCATTTCTTTAATCCGCCCTTACTTTTCAAAATAACAAAGGTAAACAGAACAGCTTTCCAAAGACAGGTTGTTGGATGTTCAAAATGAACTCGAGCTGTTAAGTGAAGATGGTGAGATCCAGTGAAGTATATACACATTTAGAATTATTCTAATCTTCATATAGCCATTTAGAAATAAAACACTGAAAGGTGTGGAAAAAATAAAAAATAAAAATAATGATGCAAAAACCAATGACAAAGACTTTACTGCATTACAGAGCTCCTGATGTGTCAATTATCTTGTTTTTATAACTACAATGTACTTATGATCTGTACTTTGTACTGAAGCTCAGAACAACAGGTAGTTTCATTTGAAATGGCCAAATAATACTGGATGGGGGGGGGGGGTGTTTATTAGAAAACTTCCAAGTTAAATGGAACTGTGCAAGGATAGTGGGCAATTTGCCCAGATCTTTGAGCTTTAAGTAAATACTTAGAGTGAAAAGTCACATCATAGTTTGGTAGAAATATGACCAAAAGTATTTTTGTGTACTTACTATGCTAGAAGTCATACATCTGAATATTGCAGCCAGAGAAGAACAGTAATATGGCTAAAATGCACCTTTGGAAAGGTTTCCAGAAGACATGAGAAATAAAAAATGTCTGACGTTTAATGAAATCACAGATTAGAAAGATATCTCCATTTAATCTGACTCAGGATCTGCAAATATGTCCCAGGAGGCTGAGGGAGAATATACGAGGCTTCTTCGTCTGCTTCCTGTGCTTTGAACTCAGTTTCTGCTCATCCAAATACCTAGGCAAACCTGAAACGTGTTCTCTGCTGCGTGTGATCTGTTGTGACACAAGGACAGCCCTCATCACCTCAGATTACCATCATCAGCTTCACTTCACTGACTCCCACAGCTGTTCAATATCCAGAAGTCTGGTAAGAACATTGCAGCATGATTATTACAAATACAGATGTGAAAATAAAACATCACTTTGGGTTTTTAAAGACCTGAAATAAGTGAAATAGTCAGATACAGTAGCACAACGCAAGGATGGCTTTAGCCTCACAGGAGCAGGCCACCATCAGATGCAGATTAACAGCAAAGCACACAGCTATCAGCATACTGTATGTGTAAGCTCTGTCAGCAATTAGCGGTCAGCTGGTGCTGTCAGGTCAGGATGACTCGGTCTCTGTGGGCAGGTCAACCCAGCTGAACTGGGTCGGAGCACTGTGCCTCGCTTCATGTTAAGCAGAAACCACATCAGTGCCCCAGGAGCTTCTACTTATCCAGCCAGAAGTACAACTCCTCTCAACTTTCCCTGAACACTCGAGAGATTAAAAAAAAAAAAAAAAAAAAAAAAACACCTCTTCCTCTTTTTGTTTCTGAAATATTAATTTCTGCACAACTACAATTACTTTTCACATAAAATTCTGCAGTGACATAAATTACAAGACAGGTGCGGCGATGGCCTGATGGGACTTTAAGGTAAAGACAGGTTTCGTGATGAACAACTCAACAGTGCCTCCCAGTGGAACTCTGAGGAAGCACGAGCTCTGCGGTGGAGAGTTTTTAATCTCCGTTTCTGTGAGTAGAAGCTGATTGGCAGAAGAAATGTTTGGTCATTTTAAAATCAGCTGGATTTCTGACTCAGAAACAGTTCACCAGATAACACTGGCTCTGGTAATTTGATGCATGAGCTGGAAAAGCACAGCAGGCCCTATTTTAACAAAATGATGATTTTTATGATTCTGAACAACATGATTCATAAAATGTATCATTTTTAAACCATATGTCATGAGGAAGTGCTTTGTTCACCCAGTAGGTCTCTCTGGCTCACTGCTCTCAGCATCTTTGAATGTGACCCTCCTGGCAGAAGGACACGGGACCCTTGGGCTGACAGGGGATCCCTGGACCCCCTGGGTTCCTGCTTGCTCCACTCTCATTAAACGGTTCTCTTCCTCTTCCAGTAGAGACCGAAAAGAACAGAAGGACGGCGAGGACTGGACAGCTGTGGCCCTGCAGGAACCAAACAAAGGGTGAAAGAAAATATGAGCTTTACTTCACAATGTCCTGACACACGCTCAATAATCCAGGATTATAGTTTCCAGTCCAGTTTGTTGCAGCTCCACAGACTGAAGAAGTCTTTTGTATAAAATATGAAACCTTTCAACAAAGAAGAATCCATCCAGAGGACACGACTCAACTTTTTAAAGATTTACTTGACAATAAAATAACTTTTAGATTCTGGTTGTCCTGCTCTAAAGCAGGTTATGAAACTTATTTAAGTGAGGGGATGAAATCCTCAATTTAAATGCTCTCTGCATATCACAGGAAATTAAACATTTAGGGAAGTAGGTGGAGTGAATTTCTTCTCATACACAGAGCAATGTTAGGGATAACTGTCTGTAATAACATCCATCCATCCATCCATCCTCTTTACCCGCTTCTTCCTTTTCAGGTCACTGGTGTCCATATCCAGCAGTCACTGTGCAAGAGGTGGGGGGCACCCTGGACAGGTCTTCAGTCCAGAGGGACACAGAGAGACAAACGATAAACAACCATTCACTCTCTCTCTCTCACACCTAGAGACAATTTATAATAAATAAGTGTTGTCATCACTGTATATTTCCAGACAATGATGAAATGAGTTCTCTGCATTTAACCCCTCACACCCGAGACACACTCAGGTGGAGCAGTGGGCAGCTATGTAAACCCCCGGGAAGCCGTTAGGGATTAGGTGTCTTGCTCAAGGACACTGACATGTAGAGTTACCGATCAGTCCAACGCATGTTTCATCTATTATCTATCTATTTGTCTATATTCTGATTTACCTCATTTTGTATTTTGCTTTGTGTGTTACCTGTTGTTCTGTCTGTACAGCACTTTGGTTGGCCTTGTTGCTGTTTTAAGTGCTTTATAAATAAAATGGTATGGTATGTTTTTGGTCTGTGGGAGGAACCCGGAGTACCCGGAGAAAACCAACGCATGCACGGAGAGAACATGCAAACGCCACACAGAAAGATCCCAGGGCGGGATTCGATCTGGTGACCTTCTCGCTGAGAGGCAACAGCTCTACCAACTGAGCCACCGTGCCACTCGTCTGTAATAACATTGTGTGCAGAATGAAGAACCCAACACAGTGAGAACTACGATGTTCACAAGTGGTATTCTTACGTGCCCCTCTGACCACTACAGAGTAAAAAAGCTCACAGACAAAATGGAAACTAACAAAATCTGGTCGTTAATTATTTCCTGACACACAGCTAAAGATTGTTAACTGATTAGAAGTTTTGCTGGCTGGAAGACAGGGTCAGTAATACATGAACTCACTCACCAGGCCTTCTCAGTGCTCTTGGACGGCGTTGCTGCGGCTGGTCTGGACGCTGGAGACTCTCCACAGACCTCCCTGCTGGCCATGGCCAACATCTTCCTCTGTTTCTGGGACAGTTTAGTGGAAACAGGAGAGTGTTTGATGTTGCTGCTGACGCTGCAGACCAAGAAATATGCACAGCTGAAGTTATCAACCTTCATCCAGATGTACACACATTGAAGTAGAACACTAATCATCGATACATTAAAACATTTAATGTGAATCTGTGGGTTTACATGCAGCTCATTTATCAGGTGAACAAAAACCCATTTGTTCTACAAAAAAAATAAAATAAAAGAGTGTTTAATTCTGTGAGTTTATAGAAGGATTTCTGCAGAAACATAAACAAAGCAGCTGCTCACATTCCAGGACTTTTAGGAGTTGCACAGGGAGCCTGCAGAGAGCTGGCCTCCATGTCCATGATCGTTCTCAGATCCAACACTGGAGCAGCCTGAGCTGGGCTGCAGATTGTAAAAACAGTTTTTTTTTATAAATTAATGGCAAGAAATAATTTCCTCTCGTCAACGAACCACAGTGTCATGGTAAACGAGCAGGGTGCAAGTGTAAAGTAAACAATACTTCACATTTTTCTATCTTTAACCTGAAATTTTAGTTGTAGAACTAAAGTGTCCCAAACATGCAAGGAATATAATTTAGATATTCTGAATTATGGCACTCTTACCAGGGAAGCACCTTGGGGGCGGTTTGTGGAGCAGAGCTGGGGGGAGTATGGAAGTTACTCTTCAGGGAGGTCGGGGTGATGGGTGGGGTCTTAACTATCTGACTGAAAGCTCTGTCATCCTGCAGAGAAAAGGTTTATTTAGAATCCTGCAACTATCCCTTTAATAATCTGTAACGAGGTTAAGAATATTTAAACTTTAAGTGTGGAATTACTAAATGGATGAATGTCCTGAAAGAAGCTAAAATAATTGCTCCTCTCACTCAGTAACTTTATGCAAGCTTGTGTATTAGCTCCATGGTAAGCCATTACCAGTAATTATAAAGTGTTAATTAAAAAAAAACAAAAAAAACAAGACGTGTGTATGAAGGGGCACAAGTTAATATTCTAACCATGAAGTCGTTACAGAATAAAAATGTGAGTCAACCTCAGCTCGGTCCTGAAACAGCAGTGACTGCATGTCTCTGGGACTGCCAACTCCCATGTAGCTGCTTTCTGAGTCAGATGTGAGGATCTCCTGCAGGGACTCTGCAGAGTTGGTTTTATCCATTTTAACAAGGATCAGAGACCCCGCTGGACAAAAACAGTTCAGGTTAGTGACATTTTTACAACAACCTGCTGCTTGTACAGTGATAAAATGATCCAATATGCATATACACAAGCACCACTGTCAGTACTGTGGAAGTTAAAGTCTTGTTCATACAACGTGATTTTTGAACGTCAGACAAAATTTTTGTTGTTCAGTGCGACAGGATCACAGAGAGCAGATTTATAACGCTGACGGACAAAACAAATCTATAAATGTCTGTGCTGTGTGCGCTGCTACAACTGAGGTTTTTATTTTCCCCATGTCATGACTCGTGAAGTCCAAATCTAAAAAGAGTGCCAACACTTGAGTTTAACTTTCATTTATTGCTGGACCGAGATCTATTGAATAACTGTCGTAACTGCGGCAAGACGGCGTACTGTGCAGAATCTGTTAATTACGTTTTACAGCAAGACAAGTTCATGTTGAGGTTTTCATACAGAGCGTTCACAGTTTGACATCTACAAGCTCTTCATGGTTTCTTTTATAGCACAGTGTGGGCTTTAACAGAGAGGTTTCTGCAGTAAACAAGAATGCTTTAAATAAAAAATGTGACGAGACTAAAATAAATCCATGTGCTTGTGTGCGTTTACCTGCAGCAGGAGGGGTTTGAATAATATCAGAGAGAGTGTAGCCTCCTGAACTGTCAGAACGTCTCCGTGGTTTCTTCTTGGCCTTCATCTTGGCCTTCTTTAACAACACCTCTCTGAGGAAGAATAAGGAACAACTGTGAGCACACACACAAGTTGAGGAGATAAAAAAAAGTCACAAGCTTCAGCAGCAGAAACACTTAATTTAAAATACAACAAGAGTACTGCATATGGCCCATTATATGCCCATCGACAAACTATTCTACAGCAAGTGGATCAGAAGTTACGGCACGTACAAGCAAAGACCTTGTTTTGATTTATGACCTTGAAGCTGGGGGAGTGAGAAGTGTACAACACTCCATCTAGTGATGATGCACATGAAGTTTTGTTAAATTATCTTAAGCAGATCAGAAGTTATGGTCGGGACAAGAGAGTTTATGTACATATGGAAACTATACGATGTCTCACCTTTGACGGTCATATAACAAAGAAGTATAAACAAATATACGATAACTTTATATAGGCAGTATATTATTAAGTATATACAGTAGTTCCTCGTTTATTGTGGGAGTTTCCAGTCTCAGTCCCCCTGTGATAAGTGAAAAACTGTAAAGTACAAATAGCAGTGCAAGTAGTAGTTTATTTTAGTGTGTGTGTGTGTGTGTAGGCATTTTAATCCCTTCCTACACTCTTGCAATATTCTAAACAATGTTTCTAAACTAAATGCTCTAAAAGAGCACAGCATGTCATGATTTCAGCTCCCTGCCACCTGCCAGAGATCTCGGCCACGCCCACTTTTCTGCAGAGTGGAGATACAACACGCGGCAGAAAGAAGCTTCGCCCTGCACATGTGGGCTGCACACAGGTAATAAATAATTTTAAATAATTTATTTTAAATTTTAAAAATCCATGCCCATCTTGCGGCTCATCCATCAATCAGCCAATTGTGTGTCATGTCCGATCTTACTTGGAAAAACTACAAAAGAGTACGTGGAAGTCGAACCACGAAGTAGCGAGGGACAGGTACAGTGCGTTTCATGACCACGTGTAATGCACAGAAATGAGGTGTGGAGATGGTTCATAGTTTGGTTGTAAAGCTTCACAGCTGAAGGACCTGTGTAATCTAACGAGGTTAAGTCAGGTCATCTGGATGGATTCTTCTTCTTCGTCCAGATAACCTGACTTAACCTTGCTAGATTTTTCTACCTGGATTATTGAGCATGCATTTGGACGACCTGTGTAACGTCTTGTCCCGTCACTGAACGAGCTGCATAAAGCCCCTTACTTGTGCAAATTATGATAGGATTGTCCATTCTAGATATAAACATGGTCAGCATCATCCTCTCACCCATCTCCTTGATGATGTTCAGAGCAGTCCAGGATGGAGCCAGCCCTCCTGACCATTATGTTCAGTCTGCCCCAACAGACCGCTGCATCTAGGACAGCCGAGGCTACCAGCATCATAAAAAAGGTCCCGAACAGTGTCCTGCACTCCCCAAAAGGCCTGTCCTCTCAGCAGGTGGAGACTACTTTAGTCCTCGTTTGTAACATCTGTATTTCTCAGTCAGTCCAGTCTGTTGGCTAGATGAACCCCCAGGTATTTGTAATCCTTCACCACCTCCATGTCCAAACCCTGAATGTGATGGCAGTGGAACAGAGCAGTTCATTTCTGTTTTTATACAGACTCATATCAGGACTTCAAGGTTTTCAGAAGTTCTCTACCACTCAGTAAGTGAACAGATTTGTAGCTGCAAGAGACGTCACAGATTTGGGGTTTTCTTTACTTCAGAGCACCTTGTTCATCCAGAGCAAAATATTCAGGCAGACTGATTCATCAGGTTGGATGAATCAGGACTTTAGGGTCAGAAAAATAAAAAAAATCTATTCCTCGCATTAGTTGTCTTGTCAAAGTACAGAAATGTGAAAAAGCATATAATAATAAAAATAAAAAAACACGCTGTTCCTATGTTTTTTTATTTTTTTGCTTTCTGGTACGGTTACATACATTTGATGTGATCGGACCTTTTCTCTGATGCTGTACCCATTTGTATCAATGAATCCATGTAACAGTGTTTGTAGTTGAATACTTTAATTGTATGCACACTAAAACTTTGTGTTTTGTTACAATGCTAATGTACACTTTTACAATGGGAAAGGAAACTTCTACACCTCCGACAAAAGCTGTCATTTGTTGTGTACCTGCAACTCTGATCAACTTCTGACTCTGGTTTGGGGCTGAATGCCGAGTCCAAATCCTCCTCCTCATACAGACTGAGGTCTGGTGCACCGGGGTATGGGGTGATGACACGCTTCTGCATTGCTGGGATCTGAAATCAAATTTTCAGCACTTTATTAAAAGAAGGTGCGGTAGCTCAGGAGAGCTGTAGTCTTGTAATCCTAAAGTTGTGAGTTCAAGCCCAGGTTTTGTCACGAATGGCATTTGGCATAAAACAATTTTTAAATCTTTAATGAGTCCACGTGCTGTGGCAACCCTGCAGAATGGAGCAGAAAAAATAAAGAAAGAAGTGCAGATGAGTAAACCAAGACTCAACTGATCTACAGAAATGGGGTTTCAGTCTAATTTTTAACAGAGAGGTGACATTTGTGTTTTCAGAGTAGTGAGTTCCAGAGGAGCTGACCATGGTGGTGAGGAGGGCAGTAGGTACAGGGAGGTGGAGGGACTGAGGGAGGGGATAGCGATAGGCAGAAGAAGGTCAGATAAATATGGAGGGGGGGGGGGGGAGTCTTTAAAAGTAGAATTTTAAAAGATGTGAGAGTTCAGCAGGAGCCAGTGAAGCTGCTGCAAAACAGGAGTGCTGTGACTGTAGGAGGAGGTTTAAGGGGGTGACACCAGCTGCAACTTGTGATTTTGGGGGGAGGTGAAATAGAAGGGAACTACAAAAGTCAATCTGAAAAGTCACAAGACTGTGGACACAGAGCGTACTGAGAGAGGGGTCAGAAAAAACGAAGGCGGTTAATATTGCAAAGGTGAAAACCAGCAGACCAGGTGACATTACTGACGCCTGAAGGAAATTGAGCTGTCAAGAACACTCGGCCTGAGGGAAGGAGAAACAATGAGTTAAGAAGGAGAAAACATTCACATTTCTTTTGGTACCAACAAGGAGAACAATGTAATCTGTGTACAAGTGAAAGAATGAACCAGACAAGGCACATTTAATGACTTGGTGGTCCACTGGAATGTAGTGAATTAGGAGTTTATAATTATTTTACAGTAAAATATGAGCATCAAGACTGACACAGATAACACCTTAAACAAAAACAGAAATTAACACACACACACACACACACACACACAGAGGAGTTAAACTACTGGTAGTTGTTGCTCATCATCCTTCCTGCCAGTGTTGGCTGGACAGGACAATGTGCCAGGACAGAATACGGAGCTCCAGCTCCCTAAATTCTCAGAAGCTAATCTGAACCATCATCAGCAACATGAATTATAACCGTCACCTTTTATAGTTGTGGAAAAGTGACTCACCATCCTCCTGTAGGCTGCAGACAGCTCCACAAGCACTTCATCACTAACGATGTCCAGAGCTCTGAGGACAACACAGCAAGGAAGCAGACATTAAAACATCTTTGACCGGTGACAGAACACAGACCACGACATCAAAACACACATTTACTGAACATAAACAGGATCGGTGACAAACACCTGAATACTCAAATCATTGTTACTAAACATTTTACTGCAATGAAATGGTTTTAAAATGGATTTGTGTTGCCTTTTAATATGAAAATTAGTTATCTGGTGGTATGGCTCAGATGATCTTTTCACGGTCTCTCACTTTGACTCCAGCAAGGCGGCCATGTTGAGGACGATGAACTGCAGGCAGGACAGTTTCAGCTGCTCCGCGTTGTACAAGGTGGCGAACTCCAGCAGCTCTGCAGCATTTTTCAGAGTCACTGAGAAAAAAACAACATTTTGAATCACTTCACAGCTGCTTTTTGTTCTCATAGCTTCAACTAAAACATAAACGTCAGTTGCAATAAAAAGTAAGTATAAAAAAATAATAAAGTACAAACACACATACTGGGGGAGGGGTGTCATCCAGTCTTAAAATCAAGTTTCCCAGCATTTAATGAAAACTAAATTCCGAGTTTTTCCTGAACGTCCAGGAGAGACGTCAGTCAGAAATGCTCAGAACTTTGTGTCAGGTGGCAGGAAGGGTCTGGTAAATATAATTTTCAAGGTTTCCCCTGATTTTCAGAGTCGCTGGGAACCTGAATATTAGTTTAGTACACCAGTTTAAATTAATGTTTAGCACAACAAAGCCAAAATTATAAAACGGCAGCTAAGAGCTGCTAATGTATGAATCAGATGATCAGCAGGTGTGATCACCTCTGGAACAGAGAAGATTTGATCAGTTTGCTGCTCTGGAGCGTACAGGTTTGTTCACACAACGTCAAAGATCAGCAATCACCACGAACTGTTGCCGTTACACTGACAGGGAAATGTTATCAGGCAAAATTATACCTTAAGTCATTTCAATTCTATTCAATTCAAAAATACTTTATTAATCCCAGAGGGAAATTAAATTGATGACTAAATTAAAATTATTTTTATTTATTTTATTAATTTATTAAATTTATTTTTAAATTGATTAAATTTAATTAAATTTATGGTGATTCTAACTGTTGTACAATGAGGAAATCACTCAAAAGTCAACAACGGGCGTCACTGCGGTGCAGTGGTTAGAGCTGTTGCTTCTCAGGACCGACTCGTGGCCTGGGGGGGTTTGTGTGGCGTTGACATGTCCCTTTTCATTCTACAAGCAGCGTGCACCCCCCACCCACCCACCAGTCGGCACTGACGTAACACTAAGCTAGTGGCTCACGCAATACAGGTGTGCTAGCTAAAAAGCTCATGCTGAACCCCCCCCCACCCCACCCCCCACTCAAAAACTGTCGGTACAAACGGCATGCTGCGCAGCTCAGGACGCGTCTCCGTCCGTCTAAACTGTAAAGAAAATAATAAAATTCTCCCACATTGATGTGAAGAGACTTCTAAAGGTAAAGTTTTTCTGCTTGAAGAAACTTCTCAAGATACTGAAATGTGGCGTTTACTTTCCACAAACTCTGGGTTACTCTGGGTTCTTGGACAAGTCCTGCTTCTGTATTTTACCCAACAGCACCTGAGTTAATGTTCGTAGATAAACATCAGCACATTACAGATGTGTTCTGTGTTCATTCATTTAGGAGTGCGGCAGCAACATCGAGCACAAGAGAAGGTGAAGAACAAACGGAACGTACAGTTCTCAGTGATGACGACCTCGCACATCTCCTTCAGTCGAGTGATGAGCAGCTGGTCAGCCACAACCAGCACGTTGCAGACAAATTCCACATTTAGAGACTCTGTCCAACAAAAACGAGTTAACAAGTCAAGACAGTTTTTATAAAACTTTAGAACATGAAGCGTTAACCGAGTGTACATAAAACTTGAGTTTACCCTTAATGGTGGGAGACTCGTCTGTGTAAATGTACTCGAGAATGACCTGCAGGATCTCTGAGCTTGTAGGCATCTCTAGAGCAGAACAAGAGGTCGCCTGCAAGGTGTGGGACGACACGATTATCAGGCGGGAACAAGTGCAGCAGGAAAGAGAAGAGGTTTCTTGGGTTTACCTCAATCCAGGGGTTTCCAAGCATACTGTTGAAGTACTCTACAGGAAAAAATACATCCATGTCAACATGCTGCTGCTGATTTTCTCTAGCTTTAAACTAGTTAACAATTAAACTTAATTTAAAATTGATGCCAAGGAAGCAGAGGTGAAACCAAGTGTTTCTACTTGAGTCCTGAGTCGAGTCTGCAATCAAGATGTCGGTCCCGAGTTAGATCCCAAGCTGGAAACTTCAAAATTTGACTTCTAAACAAGTAATTGTTCTAAATGTGTAATTTAATTAGACTAAATATTTTAAAAGTTAGGAAATTATGAACGCTTCTTATAAAAAAGGGTGCATTTTTTTTATTTCGACAAAAGCAGCAAGAAAAAAAAAAAAAAAAGATGTTTCACAGTAAACGTCCAAAAGAATTTTGTTTTATCCATTTTTACTCCAACCTTTCACACACTGAAACGCATGAAATACATTTTCTGTATCGTTACTCAAAGTGACACCATATTTAGCTGCTTGCTTTATGTATACATTTTAAAAATCATCTCTGAGCAGGTGAGTTTTTCAGGCATCCATACAACTGAATTATTTTAGATTCTTCATAAACAATAAAAAACACTTAGAAAAGATTACAGTTATGATTGTGTATGAAAAATGAACTTCCTGTGCACAACTTTAATGCAATCTGTTTGGTTTAGAAACCCGCAGTGAGTGCTGCATGTATAAAGAGCAGCTCTACTTGTGAGGGCTCTCTTTGGTCCCGTCATGCAGCACACGCCGGTATCTTCAGGCCTTTAGCGTAAACTACCTGGAAATTATTAGTTATTGGTAGCCAAGTCAAGGCAGCACGGTGGTGCAGTTGGTAAAGTTGCTGCCTCTCAGCAAGCTGGTCACCCTGGTTCAAATCCCAGTCTGGAGACCTTTCTGGGTGGAGTTTGCATGTTCTCTCCGTGCATGCGTGGGTTTTCTCCAGGTACTCCAGTTTCCTCCCACAGACCAAAAACATGCATGTTGGCAACTCTAAATTGTCTCTAGGTGTGAGTGAGTGAATGGTTGTCTCGTTTGTCTCTATGTGTCCCTGTGATGGACTGGAGACCTGTCCAAGGTGTCCCCTGCCTCTCACAAAGTGACTGCTTGGATATGGGTACCAGTGACCCCTGCGACCCAAAGAGGAAGAAGCAGGTAAAGATGATGGATGGATGTTAGCCAATTCAAGACATTCAGTCAAAAGGAGTAGAGTCCCAGTCAAATTCTAAATCACTTGTGATTTTTCATTAAGTTGAGTTTAAACTTATCAAAACTGTGACATAAATGGTAAATTGACTGCATTTATATAGCACCTTTCTATCTTGTCCAGATACTCAAAGCACTTTACACAACAATCTGTGCCTCATTTACCCGTTCATACAGCTCTATACTAGATCTCTACAAAGATAATTGAACAAATCATTCTAAAGAGACTAATCAGAGCTTCATCACATTCATACACTGATGGGACACACATCAGAGGCTATGAGGGGTTCAGTGTCTTGCCCAGGGACACTTGGGCATGCGACTGCTGGTGGATTCGAACCCCCAACTCTTGCATTGGAGGATGACTGCTCTAACCACTCAGCCACAGCTGCTCCATACATGATAACTCTAGTCCAATTCACAGAACTCGAGCTCACGCATCTGCAAGAAAGAAGCTCTGCAAATATGGAGGAACAAAAGCCTCAGTTTGAAGGAGCTCAAATGAACTCGGGGCGTAGCAAAATAAACTGCCGTTACAGTTTATGACCAGAATAATGATCATTATTTTTTGTGTATTTTTCATGGTGACGTTCTGAGTGCTCCGTCTTACCTAGTCTTGCACAGAGGACGCTTTTGTGGCAAGGAAACTCTTTACCATCTTCAGATTTCAGAGTCACATCGCAGAGATAGGAGCTGTGCACACAGAATGATAAAAATATATATATATAGAATCACATTTTTCATTAATACTTTGTGTACGGTCATAAACATAATATTCCAGTCAGATGCGCACCATTTTTTCTGGAAAAATTTGGGTTTGTTGCCAGTTTTCTTCTGAATCACATTAATTTTTCCATTTTCATACTTCACACCATCCAGTCTGAAAGAATAAAAGACCACTCCAGTTACAATAAATCATCTTCAGTGAGTTTGGTACTGGCACTGCTTCTCACCGTGCCGACAGGCTGCCCAGGCCAAGCTTCTTTGAAACAGCCTGTAAGGTTTTTACAGGGTTCGCCCCTCCTTCGTTGGCTTTTCCCTTGTCACCTTTGCCTCCCTTCCCTTTCTTGCCAGGCTTGGAGCTCTTGTTCTTGGACTTGTTACTGTCACCTCTGGTTGAGGGAGAGAGGGAACGGTACACCTCAAGAGCTGAGCGACCACTCAGACCGAAGTCCTGCAGACTGCTGATAAGCCTCTCTTGCTCTGAATCCTGGCCAACACAGCAGAAACAGAGGAAGTGGTCACACTCGTCTCACAGGCCAGCAAAACTTAAACCAAAGAAAAACTTGATCAAACTTTGGCTGCTGAGAGTTTATTGCAACAGTTTAACAATATTCAAAAGCTTGCAGCAGTATCCTAAAGGAAAATATTTTCTGATAGAATAAATAGAAGCCCCCCCCCCCCCACACACACACACACACACTCTTACCTGGTTTTGTCCAGGTGATGCACCCGAGACCCTCGGCCGGGCCCCGTGCACCAGCAGCTCACAGGAGTCCGTGTAGATGAAGTGCAGGGCGTATTCCAGAACGTCTGCTGGGATTTTTTCAAATACGAGCAAATCGCATCCGACAGCATCTTCACTCCTCCTCACCTCCTCCTCGTTGACCCCGCAAGGCTCGGACATGAACTGTTTCCGGAAGAACTCGGACCTCATGGACAGAATGTACTTGTGAGCGGGGAAATTGCGATCACCAGCCTGGAGCGTCACGTCGTGGATGTTATCCGTTTCATCCGCCTCTTCCAGCAGGTTCCGGAAGTGCTGCGAGAAGGAGGATGGAGAGATGCTGGGAACCTCATACAAACTGGAACACAGGGAGAGAAAACAACAGAGTTTTAAAGACGTGACTCCCACCAGTCAACTCCTCATAAAACGGAAAATATCCCAAGTAGGGACGACTAAAACATTATTTAGCATTGTGCCACAAAAGCTATAAACGGCAAAAGAAAAGTAATATATGGTAATTAAGACTTTAAAAATGTGTTTTAGTAGAGGTGTAACTGGAGTTTTACCACAAAAACCTTTATGTTGTTCATAAATTGTTGCTCTTCAAATTAAAAATGAATCCATTAATTATTAATCCATTAATTAGAGAAGTGTTTAAAAGTAATGTTTAATCTGGGATGGAGGAGAATCAGCCCTATATTTATATTAGTTTGTGTTTTTATATTATTTTGGTTGGGCCAAGTTGTCAGAATCATTTTAAACGTCCCATAAACTCCTCGTCACTTGACTTTTCATTCGTTTCTTCTGAGAGGGAAAAAATAAAAATAAAAACTTACCTGGTTGAAAGGCATGATGAATTAATTTTTGAAACCCATATTTAATCATATAATAAAGTTGTGTATTCCTTTCAAATTTATTTTCTTTACCTCCATTTTTGATTTTGATATTAGCCCACTGAGTAAAGCTCCACTTTCACAGCTGAGGGACAGTGCAGTATCAGCAGCTGCAGCCTCCTCTGTGGGTGCCGTCGAGCCCAGGGCCTCATCTCAGACAGATTTGTTTTACTTCAGATGCAAAGAGCAAAAACACACTAGTGTTGCTCACAAATAAACGTTTAGTTTTAAACAGTAGCTCCATATGAATGCAAGCTGAAGACGACTTGTCCAATTCTGCCTGGAGCTGGACACTTTGTGGCCGACTGCTGCTTCACGAGTTGGCTGCAGAATTTTGCACAAGTAAAGTTTTTTACTTACAAAAAAAAAAAAAAAAGGGCGGAAGGGCTGGCAGACTTGTGCAGCTTTTTGGAAAGGTGGGAGTCTTCTAAAAACCCTGGACTGGAATTCTTGAGATGTCAAGTATAAAATATTGTCAATTAATTCCCACAGCCCAAAAACATGCATGTTTGATTAGTAACTTTAAATTGTCCATAGGTGTGAGTGAGAGAGTGAATGGTTGGTTGTCTCATTTGTCTCCGTGTCCCTGTGAAGGACTCGCACAGTGACTGCTGGACATGAGCACCACTGACCCCCGTGACCCAGAAAGGAAGAAGTGGGTAAAGATAATGGATGGATGGATTTAAAAGATTGATTAGTTTATGGAGGACCAAAACATTTATAAATAGTATTTTTAGGCCGTAAAGCAAAGTGATCAAGTTTTTAAGACAGACCTCGTACCTGGTTTTGGGGTCAGCCTGAAGCACACCAAAGTTTCGTCCTTTAGAGTCCATTGTGATGCTGACAGCTCTGTGAACAAACGGGAGCCTGTCCAGACGGATCCGTTCATACAGCGTGCCAGCATCAACATGACCAGAAACCTCCACACTTACTTCTGTAAAGCAACAAGCAGTTTGGAAACAAAGAAAAAAGATCAAGCAGAACATTAAAGGTGTCACTCAATAAAACTAGCGTTTACCCAACGGTTTTAGCCATAAACCAGTTAGCCAGTTTGCCAGTTTTTGGGGGATCACGCCATCCTAGAGTTATTCCAATCTGGCTTCAAATCTCTCCATAGCACTGAAACTGCTCTACTGAAGGTTTTTAACGACATTTTCATATCCACAGACGCAGGTGATTCTGTGCTGCTTGTCCTATTGGACCTTACATCTGCTTTTGACACCATCGACCACAAGATCCTCATTTCTAGACTGGAGCAGTGGGTGGGCATCATAGGGTCAGCCCTTAAATGGTTTGGGTCCTACCTCTCTGACAGAACCTTCTGTGTCAATATCAAAGATTTTAGTTCGGCATCGACAGCGCTCCAGTGGGGGGTACCACAGGGGTCCATCCTCGGTCCCCTTCTCTTTTCTTTATACCTGCTGCCACTAGGTGCTATCTTCCGCAAACACAACATACCCTTTCATTTCTACGCCGATGATTGCCAAATTTACTTCCCCCTGAGGCACAGAGGCACACGCTCTATTCAGCCTCTTCTTGACTGCCTGGATGACATCCAGGACTGGATGGCTTTAAACTTCTTAAGCTTCAATGAGAAGAAGTCTGAAGTCATGCTGTTCCATCCCAGTGGCTCACTCATGAACTATGACATTGACCTATTCTCTCTAGCCCCGCTAGAGAAACAAAAGGTCACTAATCTGGGGGTGATAATGGACCCGTCCTTAAAACTCAACAGTCACGTAAACATGACGGTCAAATCCTGTTTTTTTCAGCTGAGACGGCTGTCTAAGCTGAAGCCTATACTCTCCAAGAAGAACCTTGAGACAGTGATCCACGCCTTCATAACATCTAGGCTTGATTACTGCAATTCACTTCTGTTTGGAATCAGTCAGTCCTCCATTGCTCGTCTACAACTGGTCCAAAATGCTGCAGCCCGATTTTTAACTGGTACAGGCTATAGAGAGCACATCACGCCAGTTTTGGCCTCCCTGCACTGGCTACCCATTCACCTTCGGATCCAATTCAAAATTCTCGTATGTTTTTAAATCACTGAACAGTTCCGCCCCATCCTATCTCACTGATCTTCTGCAGCCATATGTCCCACCGCGCTCTCTGAGGTCAGCAGACCAGATGCTTCCCTCAGTCACAGAAACCCGTCGTAAGCTCAGAGGTGACAGGGCTTTCTCTGTTGCAGGTCCACGACTGTGGAATGAGTTGCCACTGAGTGTCCGGCAGGCTCCCACACTCTCAGTCTTTAAGTCTCGCTTGAAGACCCACTTCTATTCGCTTGCCTTTAACACGGTGTGATTTGTTTTGGTCCGGTCTGTTCTCTACTCTGTTGGCCATTTTAGTTAGCTTTTGCTGCTATTTGTATCTGTATTTCTATTTTATGTTTTCCTGTCTGCTGTGCATGTTTGTGTTCTTTTGTACAGCACTTTGGTTGGCCTTGTTGCTGTTTTAAGTGCTCTATAAATAAATTGGTATGGTATAAACAGCTGCAACATCAAAATCAGAAGAAATCAATTCTAACAGATACAGATGTTTTAATAAACCTGATAAATAGAACAACGAGTTTCTAAAATAAGAGTGTGGAGTTACAAAGAGTTCATCACATTCATCACCTTTCTTCTCTCCGTACTTCTTGTATTCTCCAGCCCATACGCCACTAAAGCCTTCCCCATCAGGAGTTACAAACATCATGCTGTTCTTGCTGAGAGCGATGTCTGACATGAAGACCTGACGTGGATACGCCCACCTGCACTGCCTCACCGAGCTGCCAGAGGAGCGCCAGCAAAACACCTGACAAAGAAAAAGAAATGCCTGAGCCGTCACTGTCATCTGCAGAATACGGACTGCTGTCAGCCGCATAACTATTGGATGGATAATAACGGGGACAGTAAAGGCAAAAATAAATAAATAAGACACATTCTTGACATGTGTCAGCATGTAAAAGTAAAATGCAGCTTTTAAATTTCACAGTTATCATTTAAAACCAACCAAAAAATGCTTCACTTACCCTTCCTGCTTCATCCAATGCCAAGATGGCCACTTTTTCACCACCTCCTTCATTTAACATCTGAGGATTGACTCGATGATCCAGACTGCCACCACTGACCAGGACCTTCTTGATGTTAAGCTGCCTGAAATTAAACAATTGAAAAAAAAAAAGTTTATATAAATATAAGCCGATGCGTATCAGACTATGAGCCCCATCATTTCTAACGAGTACTGGCTGTTTCATTCACCTTGAAGCCATTTTCTTGCATTGGTAGTCAGTCAGCAGATAAACATCGCCCTTCTCGGTCACAACCACAGTTGCTCCATCACTGGCTGCAGCCATGGCTATGGTGACGTCCTTGTGGTGCAGCGCAGACACCTGACGGGGGGAAGTCACATACTTATCTCCATTTGGATCCAGCAAGTATCCTAAAAATAAAAAAAAATAGCAAAGAGTAGAAATGTTGGTGTGGTTATGTGGAGGTGTTGCAAACAACATCTTAACTGTTGTAAGAAATAGAGTTAATTTTTTAGACTGATGAGCTTATGGCTAGTCGGAGCGAGGGCCGTTCGTGTCTTTAAACAACTTGAATCCCAAAGATTTCATATTTCTTCACACGAGCACTATAATTTTTCACTGACATTAGATTTATAGCAGCAGGTAGCTGTAGCACCTCCTGTGCAGCCTGGGGTCACATCCAGCAAAAGGTTGCATCGTTTATAACCTTGTAATGCAATATTAGTGGTCATGTAAAAGTTTAAAGAATAGCATTTGCATGAATTGTTGTAAAATTTAAAAAGTCTGGGGTTGTTTTAGGCAAAAGTTAACATGGAAGAGAGTTCACTCAGATAAACTGTTTTAGTCTGTCACTGGATCACTGGTGTCCTGAAACAACTCCACCCTTCCAAATTTCACAAAGTGCAGTTATTAAAACTTTTACACTAGTATCAATACTGCATACAGAGCTGTTATAGCATGAACATGAGGTTCCTGCTGGAAGTGATTCAAGGCTGCTCTGGAAGCTGCTGCTGCGCTTTGTGCTCGTAAATAACAACGTGAACCGATAGCTGTGTAAAGCTCGATGACATTTTTATTTTATTCATTTTAACTTAACCCTATTTAAATCAGAAAGTCCCTTGATATGAACAGCTCTTTTTCAAGGAAGATGCATGAAGTACTTGGAAATATTTGAGAATAGACTCGTTTAAAGAGGACTCTGGTCTTGGCTACATTCAGACTAGCCGTTAGTTCATCAGACCTGTCAAAGTTTCTTTCAAATTGAGACCATTCAAAAAAAACATGTAAAAACAGGAAAGATATTTTTAACAACTTTTCTACAGAAGCCCCACTTTAAAATATTCAGAGCAGAGGCTTTAATCTCAGTCCAAGTGAATTGGACATTATGCATCTGAAAACAGGACAGTCTTCAGAGGTTGTTGTCTCCAAGAGACTTACCCAGCTGCCCTCCATTGATCCCCACGGTGTACACGGCCTCTCTGGTCCACAGAACTGTGTGGAACTGCCCTGCTGCAACTCCAGTCACTGCCCTGCCCTTCAGCATCTTGGAGAACACCTACGCACACACAGACATTAAAAGCAGAGTGTAAAAAACTGAAAACTTAAAGTATGTTTGGTCATAAATAATTTATTCATGGTTTTTGTTCTAAAAGAACAGAAAATGAATAATCTCACCTGTTTTGGAACATGTGCTGAGGCAGGAGGAGGAACTAGACCCAGCTGGTGGAAGGTGTTGAGACCGAATGTGTAAACGTAGCCTTCCTCCGTCAGCACCACGGTGTGGTCTTTAGCTGCCGCCACCTGGGAGCAGTGGTGGGACGTCAGACCCTCCACCATACGAGGAACCTGAGAGAATGACAACAAAATAAAAAAAAAATAAATAAAAAAAAAAAGAGAGAAATGTGAATATGCAGAAATTTCTATTACTTTTCCCAACATCAGTATAGTTTAAATAAAATAAAAAGCTTTCAGATATCCAGTCTAAGCTGTATTTACAAGCACAGATATTGAATGTCTCTTCTCTTATTCATCACATCTAGCACAGAGCTAGAGGTTCGTTATGGTAAAACCTTGCAACGGGCAATCGTGCAATGAAGATCTACAACCGGTTCACTTAGGAGTCAACTGAATTCAAGATGGCCACCATGGCTAACTGACCTTAAAAAAAGGCTAAACTTCAGTCAGTTTTCCAGAAAATGTCCTACAGTGTGTTGTGTTAGTAGCAGAGGTAGATTCTGAGCATTAACAGATTGCACAAGATCATTGTTACATATTTTGCAAACAGGTATTGGAGTTAAAATAGGCTAATTTTCTTAAGAGCCACTAGATGAATTTCAATGAAACCTTCAATATTCACTGGACAGACTTCTACAACTGATTAACTTTTGGAGCAGATCTACCTCAACCTGGCCGACGCAGATGATTGACTTTAGAAAAAAAAAAAACACAAACACAAAAGAGCTACAATTAGGTCCATTTTACAAACGTCGAGTTAAAATCGTGTGTGGCTGTAGCTGAGAGTCATCCGCAACACAAGTTGAGTGTGACATCAAAAGACTGTTTAATGCACAGAACTTTAATGTCAAGGTTGGACCAAAACAGCAACAACATCATAATCTCTCAAGATGAGATGATTTTAGTTCAAAGCTCTGGCATGAAAGACAGAGGCTGAAATGTATTCCTTCACACAATCATGGACCACAGCTAATTCTATTCAGTTTATTTATACAGTACCAAGTACCAACAGAAGTAGTCTCAGGGCACTGAACATTCATATATAAAAAAAGACAATCAGTAAAAGTTATCCATCTCAGTAAGCCAGTAGGTTGTGTTGAATCCACGTCGTCTCAGTCTCCCATCCTGAGCAAGCACAGTGGCAACAGTGGGAAGGAAAAACTCCCTTTTAACAGGAAGAAACCTCCAGCAGAACCAGACTCAGGACAAGCGACCATCTGCTTTGACCGGCTGGTTTGAGAGGAAGGAAGGAGGAACAAAAAACAAAATGGCTAATGTGCAGAAATAACAATAAATAAACAAAGTCTATCCTTTAAGGATTGTTCAACTAAACTACTCAGGGGGCCACAGTTAATGAGAGAGCTCAGGGGCCGGACATCCAGCAGTTATTCTCATTAAGGTTGTTTTTGTTTTTTTATTTAAAATCGTATTATTAAAAAAAATAATAATAAAAAATAAAAAAAAGAACCCAATGGAGGTCAAACTGAGCACCCGTGGGCCTGATTTAGCCCCCGGGCCGCCAGTTGAACAGCCCGGATTTAAGCGATCACAGTAAAACATGGATTAATGACTGGATTATTTTGAAAATAAAGCTGAAAAATAACTATACATTGTCTTTTCTTATTCTCATACAATCATAATAAGCAGCAAGGATCTCATCCACTATGACCAACAGACTGTTTCTCGTCAGCCTAAATGTAAAGTCATAAAGAGTCCTGTCCTATTAGATCAGATCATCATCATCATCATCAAGGTTTATTGCTGCCAAACAGAGATGTTCATTTTAATTATTTTTCATGCCAAAAGCTTAGCTCCAAAGTATATCGTCTTCAGAGATTTACAAATAGTCTTTCGATACTAAAAAAAATTAATTAGTTTTCTAATGTTAGCAGTAATCCGTTTGTGTGATTTGATTAGTGTTAGGGAGGAACCTCCATCTTTAACAACCACACACAAAACAACTGTCTGAAAAAGGTTAACATTTAATAAAAAGGACCTTTAATAGTAATAATTAAAAATAAAAAAAACCACCAGGAAACAAGTGGAACTGAACATCTTTAAGTGGCAATTCTGTTCAACAGAAAAACAAACAAAAAAATAAAAACAGAGAGAGATGGATGGATATTTATTTTTATTTTATTTTTTTAAATGTTTTTAACACAAATCCTGTGTTTTTCTGTTTATGACCAAGTTTCTATAGTTGCTACAAACTACTGACATGTACATTTAGAAACAATTTTTTAAAATTCTTATTACAAAATATATTCTGTGTCAAAATCTAAAGTAAAAGCAACAAGTTAGCCTGGTGAGCTGCAGCAAAGTAGTGATAAGTAGTGATCCTGTGCTTCAGCATCAACGTGTGGCATGGAGGCTGCACAGCTGCAGAAAGAAAAACTTTGCAGAGAGTGGTGAAGGCTGCACAGAAGATGTTGGAGTCAGTCTCCCCACCATCACAGACATCTACACGTCCAGATGCAGGAAGAGGGCCACCTGCATCATGAAGGACCACACTCACCCAGCACACACACTTTTTGCCCCACTCCCCTCAGGAAGGAGGTTAAGGAGCATTAAGTGTAGAACACTGAGGAACAGCTTCTACCCTTAGGCTGTTAAAGACTCATTAATCTCTAACTAGAATAATCACTGAGAAAAATCACATCATGTTGCTGCTGATCTGTTTCATGTTGCTGCTGATCTGTTTCAATGTTGCTGCTGATCTGTTTCAATGTTGATGTGTTCATGCGTGCACATCTGCTCACAGACTCATGTTCATGTTTGTGCTGATGTTCAATGTTTTATGTTATGAGTGCTTAGTGTATATTTAGTTGATGTTTTTCTTAGTTCATATCTTAGATGTCATTACTGTTTTTCTTTGACATTTTATTGTTGGATGTAACTGGGACCCTGTGTACATAATTTCGCTCCACCACATGTACCACATGAGGTGCGAATGACAATAAAGAAACTATCTCTGATAAGACCTCTCCGCATGCTTTATAACCTTTTTAATCATAAAACAAATTCAAACAAAGCTCAAAAGAGTCCTGTGACACTTAAATAAATAAAACATATAAAAAGTACTTCTTGTGATCAAGTACCAGTACAGCACATCCTAAAAATACAAAAATTAAATAAATACAAAAATCTCACCAGATAGGTCTGTTCATCCCCGTGACCAAGTCTTCCACCCAGTCCATGTCCACAGGTGAAGACCTGGCCTTTCTGGGACAGGAACACAGAGTGGAACTTGCACAGAACCACCTAAAAAGAGAATTAAAGAATATAAAGACTTGGAATTTTATTTTTGTGGTTGCTTTTAGTAATTTTGTTGCAATGACTTCCTGTTGCTCAAAGAACTGGTTTTAACTTCTTGTTGTTGGTTTGCAGAGCACTACACGGTCTGGGTCTAAAATACATCTCTGATCTGCTGCTGCAACAAGAACCATCACGACCTGAAGCTCTATTCAGTTTTGATTCAGCAAATATCTGGAACAAACGTCTAGAAAACTAGACCGCTCCGACTGAGAGTCCCTTTAAAACCAGACTGAAGATCGTCCTGTATTTTATATTCCTTTACCTTTTAATAAATGTTCCTTCTGAGCATCCAATTCTATTTTTCTATATGCTTTTATTGTTCTATCACACTTTATCAGTATGTTTTAATAGTTTATGTAAAGCACTTTGTTGCTGAAGTGTGCAATACAAACAAAGCTGCCTCACTACTCCAGCCTACTTAAGAGAAATTCAGAGACCCGGTTGTTCTGTTCACTCATTATCACTTTGACCTCGTAGCACAGGCCGTGACACGTGTCCTTCAGCCAAGCGCTCGTGTAGTGAGAGTAAAACACTGCCAATAAAAGGCCAGGGCACAAGTGGAAAAGCAAACATCATTACTAAAACATCGCTCAATAGAACGCAGAGATGTTTCCTGAAGTATCACATTGATGTGGACATTCACACACATGCAGGCACACCAGTGTAGCTCATTTAATTAAAAACATGTCATTGTGGAATTAATATTTAACCTCTAGCACCTGCTGGATTAGGCTAAGAAGACAAAGACTACACTCGGAGCTGCCGGGTCATTGTGTGGTCATGACATCGGATCCACCTCCCACCTTCAAAACACACACACACACACACACACACACACACACACACACTTAAACATACTCCACATAGCAAGTTGTGTAGGTCACAAGCTCCTGTAAGCAACATGCACTGACAGCTGGCACACTCATCGTATTTCATTCAGAAAAGTACGTCCATTTTACCACAATGCAAATCCTCTGGAAAAAAAAGATTATAATTACAACATTTTGTTGTATTAGTTAGTTTACACAGTACAACTGGCAGTGGGCAGATAAAACGTGCTCCAACTCATCCATTCAACTTAATGTCCAAATAGCAGAATACTTGTCTACATGCCAGGTTCATTGTGTATTAAATTAGGATTATATGAGAGCAGAGCAGAAAAAGGAACCTTAACACAAATATGTCTTTGATAACAAACACTGTGTCCATGGTTGACTACAGCATGTAGTATGTTTACCTACTACATTTATTTAAAGCAAATTCATTAAATGTAAAAAGTATTCATAGTTTCCACAGCTGCAGCTTTAAAAAGTATGAACCACTTCAAATCAACCGCAGGGGAAAAACAAAACAAACCACTGATGAACCCTAAGGAGAAGGTTATGTAATACATGACTCAAGAGAAGGGCGTGGTCTGCTAGTTCAACCCAACAGCGACTTATCTCCAGGGCACAGAGGGTTTTATTTTTTACTTTGAAGTAAACTGTGTTTTGACATCGTCTTGATTAATGAGGTGTGTTTTCTACAAAGAAGAGTGATTCAGTGTGGGGGAAACCCTGCGCCGTATGAAATTGTGAGTTCAGCTCTCTCTCTCTCTCTCTCTCTCTGTCTGTCTCTCTCTTTCTCGAGAGAGAGAGGGATGACACAACAACCGTGTGCAGTTGGCTTACCTGTTTGATATAAACTCCAGTCCTGGCAAACACATCCACGAGCTCAGGGTGCTGTCGGCTCTCCTGATTGCCATGGCCGAGACTAAAATTAGTATTGTTTCCCCACATGTATACTTCTGTTGGATCTGAAGTGAGGAAACCACCATTAAGAGCACAGCCAGAGCACCATCTCAACAACAGGCTAGATTTAAATCATAAAAAAAGTTTCATTTCAATTATATTTGGTACCAGTAATTATTTAAAATAATTCTGCAAATTATAATATATACAAAGACCACATTAGACAGGGACAATTGCATCTATGTATAGGTGTAAAAAAAAAAAAAAAAAAAAAAAAAAAAAAAAAAAAACAAGAATGAGTTACAATTATGATCATCTTTCATTTTTTCTTACCAGTGTTTTTAAAAACTACATGCGCTGGTCGGTCCTTCATTGTTAGGTCCAAAACAGAGAGACCCTCCTTATCTTGAATGGAGGGGGTCCCACCATGCTGAGGAAAAACAAAATGTAGATACATTTCTGTCCTGACTGACCTCTGCAGTAAAAGCAGTCTGATCAAATCACAACAGTTCTGACAAAGTTGGGACTTTGTGTCAAAGAAATAAAATGCACTGTAATATTTGCACATTTCTCAAGACCATATTTTATTTGGAATGGAATAAAAAAAAAAAAGAATACATGTCAAACATTTAAGCTAAGAAACTGTAGCATTTTTTAAAGAGAAATTAAAATAAATAAAATATAAACTTGATAGCAGCAACATCTATTAAAAGAATTTGGACACTGACAACAAAAGGCTGCAAACGTGATTAAAAAAAAAAAAAACAGCTGAAGGAGCATTTTCAAACTAATTGGGTTAATTGATAACAGGTCAGAAGGACTGGGGGAAGAAAAAAAAATGTCTAAAATGAAATGGAACAATTTCAGAATAATGTTCCACAACAGAACGTTGGGAAGACTGAACATCCCATCATCTACAGTTCAGAATAACATCAGATTTCAACAGTCTGTAGAAACTCTTAGAGGTAAAAGAACGATGCTGAAAGTCAATACAGCAGTCCCTCGTTCATCGCGGGGGATCCGTACCCTGAAGACCCGCGATAAGTGAAAAACCCATGAAGTAGGAACAGTAGTACAAGTAGAAAGTAGTAGATTTTATTATTGATATAGATATATATTAAGGAGTTTTAAACCCTTCCCACTCTTGCAATATTCTAAACAATGTTTCTAAACTTTAAACGCTCTAAAAGACACAGAATGTCATGATTTAGCTCTGTGCCTCGTCTGCTCTTTGCCACGCCCACCTCTCTGCACCTAAACACCTGATCAGCTATTTAACTGCAGCAAGAAGTTTATCCTGCAGTAAGGGCTGCAGTAAGGGCTGCACAAAGCTACAGGGGTACGCTTTTTCCGTTACTCTGGGCCACACAAATGTGCAGCAGGTGCTAAATAATTTCAAATTATTTTAAATAAAAATTTCATGCCGAGCGTGTGGCTCATCCATCAATAGCTTATTGTGCATCATGCTCAATCTTATTTTGAAAAACCGTAATAGAGCGAATCTGCGATAAACGAACCGCGAAGTAGCGAGGGACTACTGTATTGGACATCTGTGATGCTCAAGCCCTCAGGGGCCACTGCATTAAAGCAGGTTCTCATTCTGTTCTGGACATCACTGTATGGGCTCAGGAGCACTTCCATAAATAATTGTCAGTAAACAGTTCACTGCGCTCCTCCAGACTAAAGAGGAGGGGGACCATTCAGCCTATTTTATTTACACAATGTCACAATGTTTTTGGAACTGGGATTGTAATTAAAAAAAAAAAAAAAAAAGAATAAACTTCAGAAAAATGTAATTTTCCTCATACCATAATTAAATCTGTTATCCTTTTTCATAAAGCCTGAGAAAATACTGACCATAAAAATGAATGCAATCTTTTTTGATTACGGTACCTTGACCATTGATATGAGACAGTGGATTTGTCCATAGAAGGCACTACGGTGCAGAGCGGTCCAGCCAGATTCCTTATCCTTCACCATCAGATCAGCACACTTGCTCTCCAGCAGCCACTCCAGCAGGGCCTTCTTTCCCAGGGAGGCTGCGAGGTGAAGGGCTGTACGACCAAAGGAATCCCGCAAGCTGGTTGCATTGTGGCAGTGTGAAGTCAGGAATGCTCGGAGTTTCCCCTCAGAGCCACTAGTTAGAGCTGCGATCACCTGGTCCGCGTGCTGCTGTGACCGGCACTTAGGAGTGCAGTCCGGCAGTGCCAGATTCATCCTGGCATCCAAGTCTTCGCCGTGAAATCTCCTCCCTGTCTGCAACAAAGTCCTTCCAACAGCCCACCACCCACAATCGCAAACAAACTCAAAAATTAGTGGAACTGCTGTAACAAAGAAACTACACTGCAACTAGTCATTTGTAGACCACAAAAGTTTTCCAAGGAAAAACAAAAAAGTATCCACATTAGGTCAAGATGGTTTGGATTGCTAGAATTGTGCTTGTGTTAAGTTCCACTGCACCCTAGCTACCCCAGAGCCTTCAGCTGGCTTGCTTCAGTCCACCATTTCGACCAAAAATCGAACACAAACGAAGCTGCTCACAGCATACAATGGCATCATGAACTCAATAAATATAAAATGTATCATGCGATATACAAAATGATACAAAAAACGTCCATGTCAAGATTTTCAAAAATAGGTTGTTTTTTTATCCAACCATTTACAAAAGGCAAAAATTTCAACAACCCTGACCTTCTCGTCCTGCTGTCCAACCACCAAATTTGAGGGGAAAGGCCTCCTTTCCCCTCAAAATACTCACTTTCCTTTTCAAAACTCCATGATTGTAGAGTTCACCTGAGGAGGGAGAATATATACAGGTAAATATTGTGAAACAGCAACTTTCACAATACTGTATATGCAGCTCCCAATTACATGTGTGCTCACGTGTAATGGGAAAAAAGCAGAGAATGAATTTCCCCATTGGGGATTAACAAAAGTAGTAAAGTAGTCTTTATTGTTTCTAAGCACTTAGCAGAAAGCAACTTGACCTTTTCTCTGGATCATGAAACAAGCAAATCCCAGTTGCTTACTAGTTAAATACTTTGGATTACTATGCAAAGGGTGAGGGACAACATACTGCACAAACACTGTAATGATGCTAAATAAAAAGTAAAAACGTAAGCCTAAATAATATAACTTTTAAAAAGGCAAACTTCAAGATTAAGTCTTATTTAACAGAATAATGAGCTTTAAAGGCGTCCCCATTCTCGGGACTCCTTGCTCAAATCGTGTTATCCAGATGTGAACAAGAGATAATAAACAAAAAAAGTATAAATAAATAAATTAAGAAAGGCTGTGAGTCATAAAACTAGCTACAGGAGCAAGCTAAGCGAAAGCTAATGTTGCTATCTGGTATTAGCTGGATTCGTAGTCACAATATTATATAACCTGAAACACGGAGAATAGGTATAAACAACGGATGGTCAAAATAATCTACAAATAAAGGTTTCACATATGTAATCATCCATAAAAATCAAACAGATTAACCGGTGCAAAATGAGCTAGCCTCGAACCTGCACGAGCGGTTGTTTTATGCAAAAAATAAAAATAACGTCTTGTGTTTCCTTACCTTCCGCTAGATAAAGAAAAAAGAATTAATTGCAAAAGCCATATCAGCGACGTACATCCACTGAGACATGACTACAAATAAGAGATGTTAGCGGCTTTTAAACCCGTGATAATACTGAGGCCCGAAATCTTGCAGGTTAGATTAAAAACGCCTACTCAACATGGAGACTTCTGATTGGTCCGGACGTGTGCATGCTAACATCCTATTGGTTAATTTTGGGCACGTCGAACAAATTAGTGCTGTTGCTGTATGACGTCATACAAGTGCCGTTTTTTAATCTTAAAGGTTTAAAGTTACGAATGCGTTATTACATTTATACATTTAGCCTTTAAAAATATAATCTTAAAACCTTTTTATTCGTGCAGGGTTTTTTTTTTTATACCTAGTGGCTCTCAGGAATTTTTGTATTATTTTGTTTTTGCTGGTGAAGCTTCCAGGTCATGATCAATATATTAAAAAAAGGTTTAAAAACAAAAACAACTGCACTGTTGTTTTTTTTGTTTTGTTTTGTTTTTTTACTTTTTTAATTGTATTGTCTTTATTGTTTATTTTTAACTTTTGTATTGTGAAGCTCTTTGTGAACCTTTTGGCTTTTAGAAAAGGCATCTATAAATAAATATTGATTGATTACATTATGGGTAGTAATATATTGAATTCTGTCTTGCAAGTTATTAATAAGGTAGAATAAAAATGTATTTAACATTGTCTTAGGGTCACTGATATCTTACAACTTATGGGTGATAGAAAATGTTTTTTTTTTTCCAACATGTGATCAGCTTTTGAGCATGCATCCCTGTAAACATGGGAGATGTCTTTCAGAATCTTGTGTATTCTCCAGGAAAACATCATGTAAGATACAATAGTTTCCATCTCCAATAGGCTTTTGTTGGGTATCGGTTTCTCCCACAATCCAGGTATCATGGAAATACTCCGACGGTTGTCTCATTGATCCAGGCTAAGAATTTGAGAAGGCCAAATAGAGTAAAGCTAGAGTTACACACTGGTATCCACATCAGGGGCTTCAAAATATGATAAATTGATGAGGATGTGCCCTTGTCCTTCAGGCCTATACACATCCACACTGTTTCTTCTCTTAATCCAACATACATAGATTCATTTAGATTAACATAGAGTTTATTTTGTCAAAAAAAGTGAAAATACAAGTTTGACTCTCTTTGAAATAGTGTTCTTAATAACCATCAAGTATTAAATACATTGTTTTCACAGTATTTTACTTGTCTGTTTCTCAACATTTTGTGGATAGTTTTTTATATTGAGGTAAACACTTGCACCCAAATACCATTTCTTTTCTTGCTATTTTAGAGCGCTTGTTTTCTAACTTCATTGCAACAAGAATCAAGGAACAAAAAGAGCACTGACCAAGAAAAGATAAACAACAATCTATAAAAAGAACTAGGAACGTGAGACTAACCTGTAAGGATGAATGAAAAAAAACAAACAAACAAACAAAAAAAACTCACATATAAGTAGCATTACCAAATACATCACAAGCATTTATTGAACTGAGAAACACTAAAGAAAAATAGTTAGTTAATTCATCCATCCATCCATCTTTTATACATCTTTCTTCCTTTTCGGGTCATGGGGGTCACTGGTGCCCATATGCCATCAATATGTGAGAAGTGGGGGACACCCTGGACAGGTCTCCAGTCCATCACAGGGACACAGAGACAAATGAGACAAACAACCATTCACTCTCTCACTAGAGACAATTTAGAGTTACCAATCAGCCTAACATGCATGTTTTTGGTCTGTGGGAGGAAACTGGAGTATCCAGAGAAACCCACACATGCACGGAGAGAACATGCAAACTCCACCCAGAAAGGTCCCGGGCCAGGATTTGAACTGGTGACTGTCTCGCTGAGGGGCAGCATCTCTACCAACTGCTCCACCATTCAGCTTCAAAAGTACTTACAAGTAAATAAAACACCCCCACCCCCCAAAAAGTTTTAAAATGTGAATTGTCATAAGATAGATAGTATAAGCGTGTAAATTACAGCCAAACAAAACCTATGAGAATTGTGCTGCTGTTGTTCGGTGTATTGTTTTGCACTATTAGTGACTGGCATCTATTTTAGATCTTTTAGTGTACTGTTGGGTGTTCGTTTAGCGTATATCTTAGATCCTTATTTACTGTTTCTTTTTACACTTTATATTAAGCTATTGTTTGATGCAACTGGGAGCTCGTGAACACAATTTCGTTCCACCACATGTACCACATGTGATGCGAACGACAATAAAGAAACCCTGACTCTGATCTTCTTCTCCTTCTATCTTTCTTCATAATAGCGGTAAATATTTTTCATCCAACCTTTATTTAAACAGGTTAATCCCATTGAGACTCAGGGACTCACTTACAAGAGAGACCTGATTTTAACAGAGTGATGACAACAGTGGACAACAAAGACAACAGTAGACAATCATAAAGGATGTGTACAAATTGAGAATAACAAGTAAAAATAAAATGGTATTTTAAAAAAGTAACAAAAAACAGCTAGATTGTCGATGTAGAAAACTAAAATCAAGAACGTGTCTGCATTGTTTTTTCCCAGGAACTTAACTAAATAAATTAAATTAAATAAATAAATTAAATATCATTTTAGTAGGGCAGCACGGTGGCGCAACCGGTAGAGTTGCTGCCTATTAGCGAGAAGGTTGCCGGTTCAAATCCCGGTCCGGGTCCCTTCCTGGGTGGAGCTTGTATGTTCTCTCTGTGTGTTTTCTCCAAGTACTCCAGTTTCCGCCCACAGACCAAAAACATGCATGTTAGACTGATTGGTGAGAGAGTGAATGGTTGTTTGTCTCTATGTGTCCCTGTGATGGACTGGAGACCTGTCCAGGGTGTCCCCTGCCCCTTACACAGTGGATGCTGGACATGGGCTCCAGTGACCCAAAATGGAAGAAGCAGGTAAAAGATGGATGTGGCAAATGATTTCTCTTTTTTTTTTAAACAATTTCACTTTGTTTTAGACTGTTTATGAATTCAACTAAAACGGTTTAACTTAAACTTTTACAGAACCTGAACGTTTTTTTTTTTTACAAAGCTTTAAAAAAACAAACAAACAAACAACAACTAAAAACAACTTGTTAAAATTTCGAAGTCCCGGTCCCCCCCTGTGGTTGAGTAATGGTACGGTCCATCGCTGTGGTGTAGCCCGGTCCCCCCCTGTGGTTGAGTAATGGTACGGTCCATCGCTGTGGTGTAGCCCGGTCCCCCCCTGTGGTTGAGTAATGGTACGGTCCATCGCTGTGGCGTGGCCCGGTCCCGCAGCTGGTTCTGTTCTCCACTCGCAGCAGGCTGCTGGAAGTGCGTATGAGATGAATGGCTCCTCAGAGAGAAGCGGGGCTTTGTCTGTGAGAAAAGTGACAGCCCGAAACAGTTTTTCCGTGAATGTTCTCGGCTCTGTGATCGATTTATCCGTTTCATTTTTGCCGGAAGGACCTCTAACGAGCGCGAGGTTCGGGCAGAAGTTTTCTCGGAGATGTGGACTTTAAGAAGGACTTCATGAGGGGAGTCTTATGGAGCTGCACCGTGGATCTGAGGTGGGAAACACGGCAGGGAAACTTTGTCCTCCGCGCACGGACACGGCGGCGGTTTGGTGAAACGCGGATTTTGCGCAGCCAGATTCAAGATGCGGTGGAGCTCGTGCGGTTCTGACCGCGGGGGGGACCCGGGAAGACGTCACAAGTCCAGTAAGGTCCGTTTACTGGTCATCCTGGCTCTGGTCCTGCCGTCCTGCCTCTCCTGTCCGGACAAGTGCTTGTGCTCCTCACAGACTGTGAAATGCCAAAACCAGGACTTGGACTCGATTCCACATTCCATACCGGCCAATACCAGATTCCTGTTCATCACTGGAAACAACGTTTCCCAAGTCAGTGAGGCCTCTTTCCCAGTCCGCCTGGACCTCCTAACAGAACTTTATCTCAGTGGGAATCGGATGGAGCGTGTGGATGCGAAGGCTTTTAAAAACTTGCCAAACCTCACCCGGCTGGACCTGAGCAACAACAGGTTCCAGACTTTTAGCGGGGCAGCGTTCCCTGATGGCGGCAGGCTGCAGGTCCTGAACCTCAGCGCGTCTCTGAACAATCGTAACTTCACAGACGAGCTGCTTTCTGTCCTCAGCGGTGCTAATCTCTCCCCGCTCAGAAGTTTGGATTTGTCCAACAACGATGTGGTGAGTCTGCCAGACGGCATCTTCACCGGCTTGACCAACTTGGCCCACCTCAACCTGCGGAACAGCTCCCTCCTCGCCTTCCAGAACCAGACCCTGCCCTCGCTGCAGGACCTGGACCTGAGGGACAACAGCCTGAAGGATCTTCCCACGGCCACGCTGGCAGAGTTCAGCCTCGTACCTGGCCTCCGCGTCCAGCTGGCGGGGAACCCCTGGCGCTGCACCTGCTTCATCGAGGACCTCCTGGCGTGGCTGAAAAACTCCACCCAGGTGTCGGACGTACGGGAGCTGACCTGCATGGACCCGGAGCTCCTGAGAGGCCGACCCCTCCTGCAGGTGGAGCTGTCCCAGCTGAAGTGTCTGGATGACATGGACGCCGTGCTGGAGACGTCTTACGTATTCCTGGGACTGGTGCTGGCCCTGATCGGCGTCATCTTCCTGCTGGTGCTCTACCTGAACAGGAAAGGCATCAAGAGGTGGATGTACAACATCCGGGACGCTTGTAGGGACCACATGGAGGGGTATCAGTACCGGTACGAGATCAACTCTGACCCACGGTTGGCCAACCTGAGCATCAACTCTGACGTGTGAGGGGAACACGAGGCTCCGTCTTTAGATATCTAAGGACTTCTGCTCTTAAGATTTGCATGAACGTCTTCCCATTTCCCTGCCACCCCTTTAATCAAATGTTGCATCTCTCAAGACTTCTTCGGCTCCTTTTCACCACTTCCCTCGGCCGCATGTCCCGCACAAATACCAGGCAGCCAACTGTTTGCATGGGCAACGAATGACGTGTCGTTTTTGGAGTGAAATGTTTTGTTTCAGCTTCTTCTCCTTGGGAAGAAGCTGAAGACGTTCATTGACTTTTAAAGGAGATGCCGAACATGCTCTCATCGCATCCATCTCATTCTGCCACACAGGAGTCACGCAGCTCGTCTGTCTTTTTTTAAATGTGTAAATGTCTTTTTGACTGATTGTTATACACACTGCCTAGAGTCTGGATTTAGTAGATGGATGTGGTTGCTCCTTTTTTCTCTGTGACGATGTTTAGCTAAATAAAACGCCCCTGGATTGCTGGTATGTGTCTGGACTGAAGGCCTTTAATCAGCGGGCTGAAAGGAATGTGCACTGTGGGCCACACGCACGCTCCCTGAGGCACGGAGCGCACGGGAAAACTGTAAATCTTACCCCGACTTGTCAACAAGTTCAAACGTGTGCGCGTCAGCTGAGCCGCTGTTATCTCCACGGCAACGGGTTAAGTGCTGTTTGCATCGAGGGGCGTCGCAGCCGTGCGATGGGAAGGTCTTGAATTAAAACGTGCGCACCTGAAGGAGGTGATGAGAGTAGCCAGCTGTTTTCTCCCCTTTAATTTGCAGCCAGACAGCATCTTTCAAACCCATCATCATACGCGCTTCAATACGCTCCAGCTGCTGGGAAAAAAAAAACGTGTTTGACGTTGTGTGAAATATGCAAATGAAACCAAACCCGCAAATCTCGTGGGGCACGCAGAGGTATTATGGAAATGAGCTGAAGCCGCTCGGCTTTTCACGTAGCGCCGTTTTTAGGGCCTCCACGAGGAGATAAAAGTGTCCGCTATTAGTGTTTTTATAGCCAACTGTCCACTACAGTGCACATGAATAAATAATGTGTGGTATTCCTTTGAAGGGTGGCGTTTGTTTCGTCCGAGCGCAGGAAGCACTGAACTTCCTCGGCCTTTAGGTGAGCTCATAGATGGATCTTAATCACTTCCTCCCTGAAAGTCACTTCTCCTAGAAGTGGCCACTTGAAGTCTGCAGCCGAATCATTGTCAGTAGAGGAGCGGAGTCCTTGCACAGATGTTCACCGCAGTCCGTCACGTCTGTGCGTAGCAGCAGCAGCTCGGCTTCTCGGGGTATCTGTGTGTTTTAGGTGGCATCACTGTCAGTTTTGTGTGGTATGAGAAAAAGAAGCACTGTGCTCCCGACACCGTTACAACTCGCATGTTTAGTTGGACACGTCCCCTCCTGGACGTCTCCTCCTCAGGCTGATGTTTGTTCAGTAAGCAGCATCGTCAGCTCGGCGATGAGGAGGAAATTGCTGCTGTGTGTAATATCGCACACGGTGCTGTTCATTTCTCTCTTCCCCGTGTCCTTGTGCAGCTCCGCAGGTTCATTTAAGCTGTGAAAGGATCCCTAGACAAAAGGCAGTAATAGTTGCACTGTTGCTGCGGTTTCTTCATTATGCATTTGTAATTGCAGCGGGCACGTTTTGAAAATGTAAGCTCTCGCTTCACGTATTGTTCCCTGGAGCGAGGCCTCCTCACCTCTTGGTCCCAGGAGGGACGCACAGGTGCAGGCTGTTTGCAGTCTAATGTTTCCACAGAGACCGGCGGCGGCGAGACCTCCTCCTCCTCGCGCACGATGCACGTCTAATAACGTGCTTTTTGCTCAGCCACGCCTGGCAGAGCTGCTGTGATTACAGTGAATAAAAAAAGAGGTGAGACGGTGGATGGCTGAAGGGAAAACGAATCGAATGAATGAGAGAACTCTCCGTTCTCCGAGGATGCCTTCTTCTGGGTGGAGCCAGCAAACCTTTGTCTCTTCAAATGTCTCCGCTGAGCCTGGGAGGGGACACGGGTGGTCTCGGGCAGCTCCCTAACTGTTGGACCATCACCTTCAAAGGTCTGATGCTGTTCTAAACATCTGGATGCTGGGAGCTGCTGAAATCTGTTGCCTTAGGGCCGGGGCTCAGAGTTTTTGGGTTCAGGGACCCCCTCATAACCATCATGTTTATTAAATAATTTTCTTCAGTTTGTCTCTTTAATGCAGTGGAAATATTTGTGTAACATAAATCCTTAAGACCTGTTCTTTAAAAGTGTTAATACAATTTTTATACTTTTAAACATTTTTCCATTCAAGACACAATGAACAAAATGTTTAATTTCAACTTCCAAAAATTACAGTTTTGAGAAAATGAACAGAATCAAAAACCACTTTAAACATTTACCTGTTCACTCAATGAACACAATAAGTGTATTGTCACTTCTTTAAATTATTTACATCAAACTGAGCAGAATCATAAGAGCAGTAGTCGGACCAAGAGTCCGCTTCATTTGTGAACTGATCCATGCTGGAATGGAAAGAGGACGGGAGGTCTGGGGCTCCAGAACATTTTGAATAAAGTAGTTGTGAGTTCCTGCACGTTGGTGTATTTTAACAGGTTGTTAAACATCTACATGCTTGTAAATTAAATTTTTATATATTTTTTTTGTGGACCCCCAAGCACCGGCTCGTGGACCCCTGGGGGTCCAGGGACCCCAGTTTGAGAACCACTGCCTGGATGAGAGCAAACATCAGGAACTGATGTGTGGGACTTGATTTATATCTTTCAACAAAGACTGAGCTGAACTCATTAAAGAAGATAGAGCCAACTTTAAAGTTAACGGAGGTGCAGTTTGGAGTTCATGCATTTGTTTATGTTAATGCGGTGAAGGAAGACCTTGTTTTTAAAAGTAAAAGTCCTAAATGCAACTATTTTTTATGCAGTTAAATTAAAAAAAAAAAAAAAACTTTTGCTGGGTTTATCCTTCAGATGTTTAGGAAATAGAGTTTCAGTTGTTTGCTGGCAACAAACCCAGAGCTCCTCTTTGGGCACTCCACCTGAAACGCTACAGTTGGGTCACTCGGACTTGCTCCTCAAACATCTCATCCATCTTGCAGAGGTCGGCTGCAGTCAGTTATGTCACAGTCTCATATAATCTGTGGTTTTAGCACCAGCAGCATTTATTAGTTATTCTTTCCTCATCTGACTTCAACCATTCAGGGAGCGCCTTCTTTCAGACAGAGACCACCCAGGAGGAAGAAGTGCTGCCTTCAGGAACGGAGCGAGGAGGTTCCTTCTTGTCAACCCATGAGCTTCTCTGCAGGGTTTCAGATGAAGCCAGCAGTGAGGAGGATGTCAGTGACTGGGATTGACAATTATTTAAAGGTGTGGAAGGAATGTGTATCATCACCACCTTTCATACCAGAGCTTAAACTTGATGTGTTATCCAACAATTTTCAGTCAGGTCATCTGGACAGTTTCGTTTTTTGCTGAAACGTTTCACTTCCATCCGGAAGGTTTCTTGAGTCAAGGAAACACTGAAAATTGTTGGATTGTATACCTGGATTATTGAGCGTGGACTTTTCTGATATCCAGTGATTACTTTCTGCAATCTTTATTAAAATTGGTCTCAGTTCGAGAGGTTTTGCTAACTAACATGAGCACAAACATCATCTGCTTTTGCCTTTCAGTGGTGGCTGATAACCAGGTCAGAGGACTGGGTTCTTGGTCCAGTACTTCAGCTGCACAAGGGATTTTGAAAACAAATAACTAGAGAAACTGAATTTCTTGTGAAAATGCAGTGTGAATTCTTATTGTAGAAGAACTTGCTGAAAAACATCTGAAATTAACTAAAAAAAACATGCTGAAATTGAAGAACAAGCCTAAGTTAGCAAAAGAAAGCAGAAAGAACACATATGTACTGAATTGGGTTTAAATAAGTAGAAATGAGCACAGAAATTAGCTTAAAAAAGGTCTGAAATTAGCCAAATATAGCTGAGAAGTAGCTAAAAAGGCAGAAAGAAGCTTAAACTACCAGAAGGAAGTGGAAAGAGCTGGACTGAGCTAATAAAAATGTGGAATTAGTTGAAAAAGCTAAATTTAGCATAAAAACAGCTAAATAGTAGCTGAAATAGCAGAAAATGGTGAAACTAGCTGAAAAAAGCATAAGCTGAAATTAGCAGAAGTTAATTGGCTGAAAGTAGCAGAAATTACTGTGAAAAACTAATTTATCTGAAAACAGCTGAAAATTACTAAAAAAGCTAGCTGAAAAAGTAGAACAAGTTTAAATTACTAGAAGGAAGTGGAGAGAGTACAGTTTTGCTGAATGAGGCTGAAATAAGTTGAAATTATTGCAAAAAATGCAGAATGCAGAAAAAGCTAAAATTGGCATAAAATAGCTAAATAGTAGCTGAAATTGCTGAAACTTGTATAAATAAGCTGAAAGGGGCCGAAAGAAGATAAAGACAAAATCTTCTAGTTAGCAGAAAGAATCTGAAAGGATCACAAAACAGCTGGATTGTTTTTAGTTATTATTTTCACAAGGAAGCTGAACCAGAACAAAACGTGAAAGGAGCAGTGAAAGGTTGTAAACAGATCTAAAGACATGAAGGATGGAAAATGAGCTCAATTCATTTTCTATGTGAAAAAAAGTGGCAGAAAAATATTGCAAACAGCTAAAGTCCTCTTGGCTGGGGTGAACATTACCAAAAGTCATAGCACCCTTCTCCTGAACGAGCTGAACATTTTGATAAATGCTTTGTTGAAATAGCACAAAAATTGCTTCATAAACATTCACACTATTACAGTTAAATGGCATCAGAAAGTCTTACCAGTCCCCCC